CGTCCAAAAATTCCATTCAAGACTCCGAAATTTTTAGTTAGATTAATAATGCAATGTTGGGATGCGAGGCCATCGAATCGACCTGGTGCTAAGAAGTTATGGGATACTTTATACAAATGGATTAGAGATGATAATTTTAAGGAACATGTTAAAGATTACGAAAGTGAAGTTTCAAAAGAATCGTTAAATAATGACTTCTCGGGACTTAATTACAAAACACACCCAAATGCCGTTTATACTAGCAGACTTTTGAGTTTTTCTAACTTATCACGGCCAACCAACGCCCCCGATTATGAGAAAGAACTTGAAGTGTTGTCGAACGACTATAAAGGTGAATATGCTATAGATAGATAACATAACGTTCGTCACATTTCTATTTTATTTTATTAACAAATTTTAATTTTTAACACCCTATTTAGCAGACTCAAGTTTACATAAACTTAAATTATTGTAACTTTTAGGTATTTTGAAATTAAATTTTGATGGCAATTAGTGGCTTAATTTGGATAATTATACTTTATTAAATTTACAGAGGACTTTCAACTTCTGTTCGATTAATATTTTTCTATCTTATATTTATTTTATTTTATTTTATATGTACACGGTTGCTTTAAAAATTTGCGTTATTTTTAAGGATTTATAATTAAAATACTTATCGCGTTCGATTCTTTTAACAAAGATCTTCATTGTTTTCGTATTTATGCTAATAATAGACTTTTTTGTGCAATGATTACTCCTCTGATTATAATTTTTTATTATTTGGCAATAAAGACTTTGAGAACTATTTTTCGCAAAACTCGAATAGTAACAAAGTGTGTTTTAATTATGCACGATATTTCATGATTTGCTGATATCATTCGAGTAAAAATTAAAGATACATTATCGATCAATGGTGGATTCAGAAATGATCGAAATCCGTGTGCTGTAGATGTTAATGGAATAAACATCTTGTCTCTTTTTCGGTCAACAATCTGCATCAACAATTTTCTTTAGTAATCATCAACCTTTTCAATTATCTCGTAAGCCAAAAATTGATCTCAAATCATATAATAATTTCCATTACCTTATACGTATTCAGTATAGTTAAATATGGTAATACAAAAACCTGTCAAAAACGGTTTATATATATATAAAAGAAAATACTGTATAGCGTATATAAAATACATTAAATAAAATCTATTTTTTTAAAAAAAATATATAATATCATTTATTTATTTATTTCGTGAATTAAAATATCATCGATTTTTTAATTAATTAATCTTTAATTTATTATTCATTTTTCGAAAACAAATTGATTTTATTTATTTTTTTAATAAAAGTCAATAAAAATTATTAATAAATAAAAATTATTATTATTATTCCATCGTGTGATCGTTCACCGATTGCACTATTGCTCATGCATGTACTGTGCTGTGGTAAGTGAATGAATGAATTTTCGAAATTTTTATTTAAATTGAAATGCTTACGGTATATGGATTTTAATACGAAAGTCGTAATTCTCTTACAATGATTTAGAAAGTTTATTATTAATTATATTAAAAAGCAAATTACCCTAATGGAATAATTAATCATCCGATGAAGTGATCGCAAAAATCAAAAAAAATAACGAATACAGCAATGATGTTCTTATGTTGTTACACGGACAACGAATGTCATTGACAAAACGTCTTTTTGACAAAGAATGGTCGTATGCAAAAAAAAAAAAAGACGTTTTTCGTTTTTGCAGTTTACAAACCATGCATAATCCGGAATCCACGTAATTGATTATAATGCATTGAATAATGCTTTTTTTTTCTTGAATCCCAGATTCAAACAAATTAGTCATGAATGCAACAAATTATTCTTAATGGTCATTGACAGAATGAAATCTGATTTGAGAATAATTATAAAAAAGGTTTCTGAATGCATGTAGTCATTTAACATGTAATTCATTGTTATTAAATGCCGGAAATTTTTTTGAAAGAAAGAAGTCGCAATTAATCGTCATGAAATATTATCCAATGACATACTACATTTAGGATATTGGTTCGACTGGACAGTCGATTTACTTTGTTTACATTTTTAAATATTTTATCAGCATGAGGGTATCGCATTGATTCATGTCATTCATACATTTGAGATCTGACGGTGATTTTATTGGTTACTTTGTCAATCCGCGAAGGCAATTAGATATACTGAAACAACGCTTGAATAGTTATATTGAATCATCCTATGTTTTTCTTTATTTAAATGATACTTATAAACCAATAAGACTATACTATATTCATAATCTGCAAGTTTATACGTACATATTTTTGATAGAATGATTGTATCTTATATCATGGATTGATTTTTTTAGATTTCTGTACCACCCTACTCTTTTCTTCCTTCCTTTTTTTTTTTTTGGCGTTCGTATATACAATCTGATAGAGAAGAGTAATCTTTTTTTGGTCGTACATTAAAATTTTTTTGTTCTTACATATTATTTTTTTTCTCTGAATTCTAGTGTCCAACATTCAATATTTAACAATGTTCTTTCTTTTTTCGGAGAAGCATATGTACGTGGGTTGAGAATTGAGTGGAATTCTTTGCGCTTATAAATGAGTGATGTTCTAAAATCTTGAGGTTTTTTGTCCTTAATATATATAAGTGAAACCAGTATTTTTTTAAATTTTCAATTGTCTCTATTGTTAATGATGGCATTAATGTCCATGCGATTATTAACTTTGGACGCAACCTCATCCTCTGGTTCCTTTGTGATGGAATTATTCCCAAACAAACTCGTACTCAATTTATTGGAAAAGGAAATCAATTCATCGACTCCCATTTTAGAAAAGTCCACGGCTTCCGAATCATGAGAAGTGTTTTTGTTGTAACTTTTAGAAGTTACGATTTTACTCAGATTTTCAACCAATTCCTCTATGTGGTTGATTCTCACGCTTAGCAAGTTAACGTAACCATTGTTCATAGCGCACCGATCACAACGACGATTGATACCAGATTTGCTTTGACCGAAAGAATCGGTGGTGTCATAAGGGTATGTCAAAGATCGACGAAGACGAAGAACACGTCGTCTTCTCTCTGCATCGATGTTCGCTTCTCCGATGGAATTCACTCTACGATTTTTTGTTGCGGATTTAGATTGCTCAATTTTAAAAATCATGTTGTATATAGTTGATAGAAGAATTGATGAAGTAAGCTAAGAATTGAAATTCCTTTGAATTTTTAAAGCTTTGCGTATATTTTATTTTTGCCTTCACACTTTTAAATTTGCTGATCTGAGGAGAAAATCAGGCTGACACACTGTATTTATGTGTTTTTTTTTTTGGTGACGTATGTATTTAGTAATATATACACAATACGTCATTCTACATGATCGTCCTGATGCTGCAGATCACGGAAAACGAATTACTGTACCAGGAATTCGTTATCAAGCAGGCAAAATCAAATCGCGTGTCTTTCTTAATAATTCTTAACCAGTCACATCGTCCTTAGAAATTGTTAAAGTAGCGATGAGATGACAATCATCACACTCGACTCTCGCTAAAGCATGAGCGAGATCCAATAAAACCATTCGCTTTTTTATTTACACTAAAGTCGGATCCACACGTTCGGATACCAAAGATTTAATAAGAACTAATATTAGCAAGTTTGCCCAACCCAATTACCCTGATTTGGAAAAAATCAATGCTAAATATAGAGACCTTAAAACATAGTAACGCAATAAAAAAACATTGTACGCCACATAAATCATTAAAATCATAATATTTTAGTTATTTTTATCCTGTGTCGCATATAGTTGGATCAGCAAATCGATCGTTAAACACATCGATTCATTTATGCAACAATCTTGAGCGTACAATCCCCTTTAAAGAAAATCCCGATATTGATGTTAACTAACAGTTTCGAGATAAGTTTAGAAAAGTCATCACTCGATCACACATCAAACATCTGTGTTCTAGTCTTTTCGAGCATAATCATTGTGTACCGCAAGGAAGATCGTAGTTAAAACCAGGAATGAGTATGGATTAAAAATAAGACTTGTGATCAGGTAAACACTGACATGCTCTTAGTAGACAACGTGATTATTTGAATATTTTCGTCACTAAAATGTTTAGTTTTTTTTTTTTTTTGTGTGTTAACGGTAAATCTTAAATTATGGTTTAACGTACCACCATCCAGCATTAGTTAATGGATGGAAAAAACTGTGTTTGTTACACCCGTCATCTATTTTTAAAAATGGTAGCCTATGTACACGGTTGATAGTTTCACTTTATCACACAAATGTGAAATGGATTATGATATATCTATCGATTGACGAATTTGGTTCGAAAGAAGGTCTATCAAAATGCATTTTTTGTCTCTCAATACTGGACATGAAATTAAAATGATATCAACTTTGCTTACTCTCTCAATCTTCATTTAACGGAATTGAAATTCAATGATTATTTCTTTTCGGTAAAAACACATTGTGCACTATAAAAATGTTATAAGTGGTCTAGTCTATTTTCGGAGCGGAGAACATACGAGTATTTTGGAGAATGGTGGTGTGGTATTCGTTTGATTGCAAATATCCTCGTGAAGCACATTTCATAATCAATATTAGGTAAATGCCTTTTGAAGTTAATAAATGCCTTTTAACGTTAGTAAATGCCTAGACTATATATTTTAAACATTCGTTCGTTATACAGTATCTGATTTTCACAAGCTGTCAATTTGTTAGTCCCTTATGTACATCAAAACGACAAAAGTCATTAAAAAAAACCATATATGGTGCACTTTTTATGTGGTTCATTTCATAGCAGAATAAGAAAAGTAGCTATGTTGATCATTTTGCGCCTTGAGACCAAGTGATAAGAGGGCGGATGTAATAAGACTTTTTTAAATGGCTATTTACGTTGGTCATTTTTCAGAAGAGGACATCTCCAAATTCAATAATGCATAACGTGAGGCCGCGGGCCAGATTGAAATCATGTTTCGGTCGGATTCTAAGCCCGTGGGTCATTTTCGGAAGGATAAATTTAAATCCATTATTTTCATCAATAACTTATGATAAGGTTCTCAATGATAATTCTTGAAGCGTATGTTTTTTAACTAGTATGCGAGTCCATGCAATTCCATGCGATTCCATGCGATTCCATGCAATTACAAAAATTACAAAGCAAACCGCTAAATGACTTGCAGCATCGGAGATTTACACCGGTAGTTCGGGTAATTACGTTAAGAAAGTTACCGTCGGTCCTTCTGAACGCCTTTCCATGCAAAAACTTAAAGACCATTCGGCAATGAAACTAAAACCACTCGGTATTCCTAACAACGCAATTAATAACATTCACACAAGAATTACGAAAGAATTTTATTACTCAGGAAGCATTTGGTTGTAGGCGTGAAGAGCGGTTTAGCATTAATTTCGTGCATGAAAATTTGTACCACATGTACGTTACAAGGAGCGTACAAGTATTGCTGTACTACATGATTAAGCCTCTATGTAAAATACCATCGACTCTGGTTTTGGATCTTCTTCCTGCACCACCGTCAACCAAATTCTAAAGCTAGCAGAGCGAGTATACATTATAAATTATAATGGCTAAAAAAGCAATGACCAGAAAATCATAGTTATCTTCGAATTGAATAAACCGCATTACATTCGATTCCTTCTTTTCATGCAAAGTTAATTCCCGTTTTTTTAATTCTGCCCTAGATTCTTCCAACAATGCTTCGAATTCTTCGTTTATCAATTCGGTGACGCGCGTTGAGATGTTTGGATAGTTGGGCATTCTGTCATTGAAAACTGAACACGTTATTTTACCATCATAGCTTATAATGCCGATTGCGAAACCTTTTAAAGCACGGAGAGAAGTGAAAGGGAGCTTAGACAATAAAAATATAACTGGAATTTTTCACGTAAACACCTCACTTACCACCAGGGCAGTTTTGAGGTGGTGTTACTGTAAACTGTTCTATCTTTTGTCCTGCAAAGGTCAAGGAATGCATAGGCCCCTGTCATTTTAACAGTATATTGTAAAATACGGAATGATAATAAATCGTCTCTTTCATATGGTAGTCAATAAATTTTAATACACGATTAGATAATGACGTTCAAAAAAAATACATACTGGAACGTTTGTGATCACCCCGTGTCCAACTTCTTCCAAAGCTGTCATTAGTCTCTTGTTAAAAATTCCGGGAATTGGACAATTTCCAAGGAAGATATATCTGAGTTTTGCGGGTAAACTACTTTTCAATTTATTCATCTCTCGGTGAACATGAAATATCGATTCTTTGGTGGTCTGCTCTTTCATTGAGATGAAGCACCACTCACCTAAGGTCAAAAATAATGGCTACGCCTAAGAAATAAACCCTTGTAATTCACACGAAAAGAATATCGCAAACCTGTGGACGCATTGTTGCATTCCCAATTTGTCGGACCTCGCATAGAAATTGGGATGAACATCATCAGTTCATCATCCAACACACGGTTGATCTCTGAAAAGTATGCACGTATGGCGCGAGTAATAACTGTCATCTACAAGACAAGAGCTCCATTAGACCGTGATTCGATAACGATTTACAATAGGTGAATTGATACCTGCCATGACATCATTAAGTGAAACCCCATAGGCTTTTCGCGGAATCGAAATATCGGTTATATTTATCTCTTTAGTCCAGCTCATCGTCCTCTCCAACTTCCCGCTCTCTTCATATATTAAATTTTTTCTCATTAAAGACATCTTCGTGGTTTTATGTTGATTTATGATGCCTGTCCTAATTTCATTATAGAGTAACCACAGAATGTAAAGTACATTCAAAAAGAGAACATAAGGGGCAAATAAAAATTCGGGTATTCTGTCTACATGCGGTTTTATCGCGTGATGTCTTAATAATGGTAATTCCGAGGGTTTGGGTTTAGGTGGTGGTATCATCTTGTCTTTAAAAAACTTTATCATGTCTGACAATAGATCACTACCTTCCAAGGTCAAACTCATGAGTGCGCGCATGCATCCTTGACCATCAGCAATGCAATGGTGAGCCTTGATGACCATTGCCGAACGTTTTCCTCCTTCCAGTCCATAGATAACGTATGCCCTCCACAACGGTTTATCGAAACCCATCTTTTCCGATATACACTTGGATACGCAGTCTTTCAACTCTTCAATTGTACCAAGTGATAGATTTCGTGTTTCGATATTAGCACACACGTCGAAATTCTCAACTTCCTGCCACATATGCCGAGACCAGAATGTTCCACCGTGTACGATGGATTTGAAGCGAGGGAACTT